ATTTGGTGTTTGTTTGTTTCGGTGACGGGAAAAAGTGACATTAGTTTCAGGTAAAACATAAACCACACCTCAAATAAAATGTTTATATATGTTTTTCTACTCCCTGATGATAATTTTAAAATGAAACCTTTCCAATTTTTTTAAAAAGTGCCCCTAAGGGTCTGATTGCCAGATGACAGGGGATGGATCACTTGATAATTACCCTGTTCTGTTCATTTCTTCTGAGTCATCTGGCACTGTCCATTGTTGGAAGACAGGATATTGGGCTAGATGGACAATTGGCCTGAGCCAGTATAGCTATTCTTATGTTCTAGAACATTTAGTTTTAAAAAGATCAAAACTAACTTATTTTTTTAGAAAAAAAGTCAAAACGATTTGGTTTTGGCCTGAACATTTGGCAAATACTTCTCGTGCCCACAATGCACTTTTCTCCTAATTTACTATTTGATTAAAAAAAAATCACCCTACTCTAATTTGATGAACTTCATTGTTGTGAACATAGTTCCTCAAAAACTCATCCTTAAGATAAATTCTTTCAAGAAATTTTTCCAAAATTGGAATTTTGTAGATTAAAGAAGTTACCCTGATTTCATTTATTGTGATGAGAAATGGATCCCCTTGGAGATCACGCAGCTGTAGTTGATAGTGTTTGAATATTTAGTTAAAATAAAATTCCAAGATCCTCTTTCATGAGCTCAGAATTATTAAAATCAGTTCCTGAAATCTTCCAACAAGCCTTAAGTACTGGATGAGAAAACAAGTCAAAAATACTTTGAAATCTTCAAGTCCCTTAGCCAGTTTGTCAGAGGAGGAGGAGGAGAAGACGATTAAACTATTTTTTTCCCCCTCAAGTGCTGTATTGTTTTGTTACAAAACCCACTGACAGGACTAAACAGTTCAGATCTGTTCTGCTTCTTCCTGTGAAGTTTCACATTCAAATAACTAAAACAGCTATCAAGGAAGCCATTTCACTTAGAAACCTGGATTTCTCCAACTCCTTTTCGAAGTTCTGTAGTATTCTTTCAACCACATTCTTCAGGAAAAGTAGAATTTCTTGCAAAAGATCAAAATATTTCACAACATTTTCTACCCACTAGACAGAAAACTTTGAAATGCAGAAGTAAGTCTCTCGAAACCGCATATGTTTCTTCCAAGAAACGTATGATGAGAAACACATGAGCTGACAATTTAAAATAGTACAACAGTCAAGTTTCACTCAAATGTTCTTGGATTATACTATAAAAGACAGTACAACTCACTACATTCCATCTTAATCTAACCACTGGGCCATGATCAAGGTCTCTCCTGCAATATTTTTTTTTAATTTTGTAGCTTGAGAACAGTCAAACTATCAAAGATATAGCCACATTTTTTGTAGAATTTGAATAACCTTTTGTAGTCATGAACATTTGAAATCCCTTTAACATAAATCCATACCAAGCAGTGGCTTCCAGTCAAGACTCTAGGAGAGGAGGAATTGAAAGTTCAATAGTCTTTCTGTGCTAGGTAATTTTTTTTTTAGAGCTACCCCTAAAGAGATATAAGAGCAGCTTGCATGCTCCCACTGCCATCTTGGATTTAAAATTGCCTGTTCTCCATTTGTAAAAAAAAATAGTCTTTTTAAAGTGATTTTCATCATGTCAATCTCCATAGCAAAGAAACAAAGCAGATCCTGAGAACAGAGCAGTCTAGAATTTTTGGGAAAGGGATTATATATTCATTGAAAACAGTGGAAAAGCCCCGTGTCTTGTTTGTTTGCAGGCATTATCAGTCCAAGAAGCGTACAACCTAAGGCAGCACACTAGTCACTGCTTAGGGCTAGTTATATCTAAACCACTGCAGCTCACCCACTAATGTAGGTACTCCATCTCCCAGAGAGGCAATAGGTAGGTCGACATGAGAATTCTCCCATCCACCTACTACTGTCTACACTAAGCGTTGGGTCAGTTTAAATGCATAGGTCAGGGGTGTGGATTTTTCACACCCCTCAGCAACATAGTTATACTGCCCTAATTTCTTAGCATAGACCTGGCCTGAGAGAAACGCAGGAAATGAATGATGAAGTCAGTGGGAGTGGCTGTGTGCTCAGTGCTTCAGAAAGTCAGATCACTTATTTAGGTATACAACCGTGGCCTTAGAAGCCTTTAAGCACCTATTATTTTTAAACACTGATACAGTCTATTTCATGTCATTCTTAATGCCTTCATTGGAGTATCTCACCTGTTAAATTACTAGCTTCAAAATAAGGAAGTCAAAAAGGGAAATGTTACTCTACCTACAGCTACTGTCAACATGCATCTGACACTTGTTTGCATGCACCTCTTTGCCCCCACACACTGCAGGAGCAGGCACTTGCAGTGGCTAAAAGCCATATGAGAAAACAGCTTGTAAACAAGTTGACCACTCCGCACATATCTCCTCATGGCCAAGGTGCTTCTGCACTGCCCTGTTCTTTATTCTCCCTTTTATAGGCCCTTTACACAGACTCCACATACTTACTCATTCAATCACCATCCTTATTGGAGTCTGAGTTTATTCAGATAAAATAAACTCAAAGTCCCAAAAGGTCACAGCTCTTACCTCAGAGCCTGCGGTGAGCAAAAGGAGTCTAGCACAGAGCATCAGTTCTTTGGTGGTGACCTGCTGGGGTTCTACTTTCTGCTGCCTTTTCAGAGCAGGCGTCTCACAGACAGCTGCTTGAGATTCTCTCCCATGCAGGTGTTTCTTATTGATTCATCACTGGTCTTTGGAGGCGGAGTGGGACGGATGTGGTAGTCCATTGCAAATTAGTAGATGCGTCTTTATACGGCGTCTACAAAATATCTAGTCTATAGATTTACTTTGTCTGAACCAGCCCCTTCATATCTCCGCTGAAAATTAAGGTAAAGTACTTCATCTTTTAATTTCCAATAAAATTTTAAAGCCTTTCACAGGAACACTGACTGCAGAGCCTAGTTTTAAGCCTGACAATTATTTTGGATAGCGATCAAAAGGTAATATAAATATCAAAATATTTTACACTTTAGTCTAAAAGGACAAAAATTATGTAACTACTGTATCGTTTAAGTGGCCAAGCATATGAGGACTTACAATCAACTCAATTATCAGAGGGGTAGCCGTGTTAGTCTGAATCTGTAAAAAGGGTCCTGTGGCACCTTTGAGACTAACAGAAGTATTGGGAGCATAACCTTTTTGGGTAAGAACCTCACTTCTTCAGATGCAAGACGTACATCCCAATACTTCTGTTAGTCTCAAAGGTGCCACAGGACCCTCTGTTGCAATCAACTCAATGGCATTTCTTGGTCTCTTGCTCTCTCTCTGTGTAATGCAATAGCTTTTGAACACTGCACCTGGTCAATTCCAAAATTGTATTGAATGTTCTAGGCACCAATAGCCAGAACTCTATAGTTTTTAGGGACAATGGGAACATTGAGTGGGAAAATGGGAGGGGAAAGCAAGGCGACGACTCACTGGTGTGGCACCTCCTGCTGGTTGTCCTGGGAATTAGCTTTCCAGCCTCCAGAGTGCCTTCTGCAGGCCGGTGTCTCACCTGCCACTGGCCCCCCATGTCCCTTCCAGACCCTGGTGCCCTTTATCTTGGGGTGCTGCCCCAGCAGTACTCCACCATGCTCTGGGTCTCCCCTCTCAGGGTAACCCCCAAACCCCTATCCCCACCTTGCCTCAGTGGCTACTGCCAGTCATCATCTAGCCCCCACTCCCCGGGGCAGACTGCAGTCTATAAACCACTCATCATGAGCAAGGGGGGTTTGGGCCTGCTGCCGCTGCCTTTGCCTGCCCTGGGCTGCACCTCTGCAACCCCAGTTCCCTTCCTGGCCTTTAGCAAGGCCTGCAGCCTGAGGGTTTTCCATGCTGGAGCTCCTCTGGCCTTCCCTCAGCCCCGCTCTACTCTAGGTGCCCTGCTCAGTTCTCAAGCAGCCAGGCCCATCTCTCTCCACGGCTGCCTCACAGCCCTTTTATAGGGCCAGGTGTGGCCTGATTGGGGCATGGCCCCAGCTGTGGCTGCTTCTCCAATCAGCCTAGCCTTTTTCAGGAGTGGGGCAATTGCCCCACTACAGGGGGTACACAGAGCTGCTGTCATAGAACTTTCTCCCACACCGGTTCCACCTTACCCCAGCTCCAGGAGCCAGAGCGGCAGAGAGCTCCTGCACTTTAACTCCCCACCACCTCCAGGATCTGGAGAGGCAAAGAGAGCCCAGATAGCCTGGAAGCCTGAAAGCCCTGGTGTCCTCACCCTGTGGCTGCCCCAGAGCCATAGACCCTGGGAGCCCTAGCAGCTGCAAAGTGAAAGCTGTAAAGTGAAATTGACATGTCACTCAGCCATTGTTGGGGTCAAGGGAGCAGACTTCATTGAGGAAATATCATGTGCCTGTGCGCAATTAACTGTGTGTAACTCCCTCAGATGAGACATTCAACATCAATTCTAATTATTCCACTTGATCATTAAGGATCCCAAAGATTTTTTTCCATAAAAAAATACTTGCTTACTCTTCCATCACTGTTGTGCAAAGCATTATCTACAGCATCTCAGAGGCTTCAAAAAATGCATATTGAGTAAGATTTTCATAAGCTCCCAAGTGATTTAGGGGCTTATGTCCCACTGATCTTGAATGAGACTTGGCCAAGATTTTCAAGAGCAACTAGGGATTTTGTGTTTTGATGCCCAAGTTAAGACACTTTAAAAGGGCATAATTTTCAGAAAGTGCTCAGTACTCACGTTCTGAAAAATCAGGCCCCTTTATGGTATCTAATGCTGGCCACTCAAAATTAAAACAGAATGAAGTTAAAATTAATAGTGACTTTTGAAAATCATGGTCAAGTCTCATTCAAAATCAATGGGATTTAGGGGCCTAAGTTACTTAGGCACTTTTGAAAATGGGACTTAGATGCTTTAGAAAATTTAATTCAATATTTTATATTATTTATTTGGAATCTGAGAATCTAGTGGTTTTAACCTGCTGTGTGTGTATTTTAGAGGACAAATGGATGATGACAGCTTCAGCAAGGAGTGCTCCTTTGACCATATTGATACTATAATGAAGTCTCTCCAGCTCGTGATCTCCATACCTACCTTCATTGTTGGTTTGATTCTGAATTTGATAGCCCTCTGGGTGTTCTACTCTTGGAAGAAACAGACAGAATCCTCAATCTACATGATAAACCTTGCTCTTGCGGATCTGCTTCTTCTTTTCTCACTTCCTTTCAAGATGTACTATTCCAGAAAAGAGCAGCAGAGACTCTTATGCAAATTTATAGAGGCTCTCTACTTCGTCAATATGTATGGGAGTATTTTCATCATTGTCTGTATTAGCTTGGACAGATATATTGCTATAAGGCACCCACTCAAAGCCAGAGCTTTCCGATCCCCCAAACAGGCAATCATGGTATGCTGTTGCATTTGGGTTATAGTTTGGCTTAGCAGCATCCCCATCTATGACTTCCACAACAATGACAAAGTCAAGTGCTTCCACAATATGTCAGAACAGGCGTGGAGCATTCCCATCATCCTTTCTGTTGAAGTCTTTGGATTTCTCATCCCTTTGACTCTGATGGTTTATTGCTCTGTTCAGATCATCCAGACTCTTTGGAGGCGTAAAAACCAGGAGCAGAAGTGGGTTGAGCAAGTTGCCTCTATATGGATCATTTTAGCCAACCTCATGGTGTTTGTTGTCTCCTTTACACCATTCCATCTCGGGATCTTTCTACAGTTCCTGGTAAGACAGGGCATCATTGTGGACTGCACTGTGAAACAAAGCATTAGTCTCTTCATACAAGTGGCAATGTGTTTAGCTAATGTCAACTGCTGCCTGGATGCCATCTGTTACTACTTTGCCACAGAAGAATTTCGCAAGAAATCTATTTCTGCCACTCCAGCTAGTGCTTTGATTGAACTGCGTAAACTATAGCAGAAATATCTTGCCCAAGTGAAAGAATCTATGTTGTCTAATGCTAATTTAAAACATTCATTCATTCCAAATCCACCCTCACTGACAAACAGAAACTGTTTGTTAGGGATAGGCCAAAATTAGAACGAGTTTTTCAAAAATCTTCTCCAACTTTGAAGGTTACTGTGAACACAAATTAGGTATCCAGTTTGAGTGTGCAATTGTATACTTGGCTTTTTTTTAACCTTAAAACCCGATCAGAGTTTGGTCTGGGTCTCTCCCCACTACTTCAGACAGTTTTCAGAACATGCACCCAGACGTACTGTGGTTTGGGGTTTGTGAATTTCTCATATCGCAATTTTGAAACCAGCATGAGCTATTTCTGCAATTTTGACATCCATGTGAAAAAAACAGAATAGTGCACTCAGTGAAACATCATATAAAAGGAACTGTGAGTAATCAAAATGTATTTATATGTAAGACAAAGATATACAGTACAACAATACAAACATGACATTTGCTGCCTGCCTTTGCATTGCTTAACTTTAATAAGGGTATCATTGTGACATGATTCATGCTGCTATAGTAAAAGTACTTTCAGTTATGAAATCTGTTTTTCATGTTCATCATAACACTTTGCTCTGCTTGAGTCTTCACATAACAAAGTCCTGGAGTAATTCTATTTTTACAAATCTTGTGGGGAAAAATGATTAGTCTATAGAGGACACCAACGTCCTGCTCTGGAAAAATAATAGTTTATAGGCAGTTTATTCATGCTAATGTCTGTATGTATGTACCTGCATATATTTACAACTGTACCAGATACATATATGTTTGATTTATAACTTGTGAGACACAATTAGGGGGATGACCAAAATAAGGTCAATAAAAAAGAGCTATATTGTCATAGTTAATGTTAGGACAAGCAGATGGGCTCCTCCAAAATGGCAGATCCCTGAAACATCCTAGCTGCCTCAGTGCTGCTGGCTACAGCTTGCAGAAACTATACTCAGTGAGGCACAATTTCTTTCTGTCTCTTTCATGTTACTTAAGAAATTGTCAGTTAATGTTGGGAATGAGGTGCTATATTTTTTTAAAGACATGTCTTTCTTTTAACTATAGCATTTGAAAACCATATCCTCTTTGAATTTCTTGGGCTGACTGCTGTGCTGTGACACTAGCAAGCCCATTTGCATCCATCACACTGAACTGCTACTATAGATTACCACACGGGACATTCTGAAAACAGTTACAAACAATCAGTCAGAGATTGAGCACTCTCCAGGAAGAAGTGTGTCAGAGTCACAACTATAGCAATACAGCACAATTGAATCACTAGAAACAAACACCCAAGGCGTCAAGGAAAGACCACCAACCCTCTCAAATCTCAGACAATTAGAAAAAAATACTAACCATAATGTATATTTCATCATAATCTTCTTCACCCTACTCACTTATTTCCTCAGAATTTCCATGATTTCCATCTTTCCTCTCTTCTGCTAGACAGCCAGTGAGCTGACACTTTATATTGCAGTTCATATGATTTATGACTCTTTATAAAAAATTGCCCTAAAAGCTACAAAGGACTATATTTGATCTTTTTTAAAAAAAATAAAAGGGTTTCTTTCGTTTTGAAAATTATATTGAGAATCAAATACATGAAAGTTCATTTATTTTTCTGCTCTAAGAAGATCCTTCCTTTGCTGCTGTTAATGTAGGTAGCAGATATACTGGATGGTCTTTGTCAGTGGCTCTGTTGTAACAAGGAGCAGCAATGCTGAAGGAACCCAGTGTCTAACCTAAGAAATCCTCAGGCACACAGGCAGCACACACTTTGACCACCCTTCCCTCTCCCCCCCCCCCCCCCCGGCCCACTTCTCCCTCCTCTGGCCACTGATCAGAGTCACTGTATCTGAAGTCAGGGCCATTGCAGAAAAGTCCTGGTCATTAGTTCATTTATCACTAATTATCTGTGGGGCAGTAGCTTTTAGGCTTAAAAAGGATAGGTGCATAGACCCAGTAGGCAAATATTTGGGACTCCTGCATACACAGAGATGCTAACTGCCTGAGCCTACTAACAGCAGATAGCCTCACCAGTGGCCAGAGCCCAGAGCCCAGGTTCCCTTCTGTTCCTCAGAAGCAGATGGAAGCATGCAGAATGCAGGAGTCCATAACCAGAGATGCAGATGGGCACTCCTTGATGTAGAGTTCTGTACTAGGGCTCCAGGTCCAATGAGAACTAATTTAATTTTTAAAATGAAGGAAATTGTGGTCTGCCTCTGATTAATCGTGTCAAAATGGCTTCATGGAGTTGCTTGTTTATTGTGCCTCATAGTTCTGAAAATCTAATTTGCCCAGGTTATAAGTAAAAATATTTTTTTTCTAAAGTGCCAGCTCAACAAACTTGGAGCAGGATCTGAAAGTCAAGCTGGGTTATTCTTTCTCATTCATCATCATCAGTAATAATGATTTTGCTGGTTAATGATAATTTTGTTATCTTCAGATCAATTACATGTGCAAATGAAAGCAGAGGGTAGCCTGGACTTAATATAAATTTCTAGTGATGATGCAGGAGGAAAAGAATCCTACTCATCTCTCCTAGAGCTGTGTTGGCTCTGCAGGGCTAACAGAAGTTAAAAATGGTCAAATATTTTGACTGTTAACGTAAGCAGCTCTATTCAGCAAGAAGGTATTGTTTTTATTTCATTGCTTTTTTAGAGCTGAACTGTACATCAAAAGAAATAAAACTGAGATCTGTCTTTGACTATAGCTAAGCCTTCCATTTTTTAAAAAGGTCCAATTTGCATCTAGCCTCCTTTACTGTAATTTGTTCTTAATTTTGGAAAGCCTAATGTACAACCAAAAATAAAATGAAGACACTTCAACCCCTGCAATCAATAAATATTTTAAGAATATAATTTCAGGAAAAAAAATTATAAACTGCTTACCACTTTGCAAAGTCTGAGGGTTTTGTAGATTGATTCACTTTTTTTCCCTCTTCTGCTTGAAGTCTAGACACACACTCTGTTGCCCATTTTTCAGAACTGGCTGCACAAAGTGCACTGAATAGACAAGTTCGTTTACTATAGGATTGGCTAACAGCATTGTCTTTGGTGTGAGGTCTAAAGTACAAATTAATCTGGGATAAGTGACTGGTCTCTTGAGACTGGGAGCAACATGAGTATTTTGTGATTTTTGGTGTAAGTAACCATTTATCACGAAGTCCAGCTTGCCTGGATGGCAAGATAGACTGGAATGCCATGGGGGACTGTCTATAGCTCCATGGTAAGATTGTTACAGTGAGCAGGAGTTCACATTTGTTACTGAGTTGGTGACAGCTAATTACGGGACATACCACCAGTTTGGGGTATCTGCCCTGCTTTTTGACAGTCAGCCATGAGGTTGGCACTCATGATCGTGAATCATTTCAAACAGCATGGCAATTATTGCTCGACTCTCATGTGATAATGCTGATGAAAAACAATTTTATTTCCATCTAGTCAGATGAGTCATACATATATTTTAAGGCAGAAAGGACCATTATGATCATATAGTCTGCCCCCCCACCCGCATAACACATGCCAAAAAAAATCTTCACCAGTAATTTCTGCACAAAGTCCATATAACCTCTGTTTGAACTATAGCATTTATTTTAGAAAGACATCCAGTCTTGATTTAAATACTTCCAGTGATGGAGAATCTACCATATCCCTAGGTAAATTGTTGCAATGGACAATTACCCTCACTATTTAAAAAAATGTGCCTTATTTTAGTCTAAATTTGTCTAGCTTCAACTTCCAACTGTTGGATCTTGCTATGCATTTTTCTGCTAGAGTAGAGAGCTTTCTACCATCAGAAAGTTCTTCCCCATGCAGGTACTTGTAGACCATGATCAAGTCACACTTAACCTTCTCTTAGACAAAGTGAATATATAGAGCTTTTTAAGTCTCTCACTATATGGCTCATTTTCCAGCTCTCTTCTCATTACACTGCTCTACAGCCAAAATGCTTCTGAAATAAATGTAGTCAAACTTTACTAATTCTGGGTCACTGAGAATGAAAATGATGCTTAAAATTGTTGATTGGCTCTAGTTTTCAAGATATGCTATTGGGTCAGTATATACGACCCTTGACTTGGGAATGGCGGAGGATAAGTGAGTTATAAAGGGAAGGGATCTCAATTTAAACCAGAAATGACTAAAATACACCTGTGACTGGATCTATGAATAAATCTATGACTGGGTTTGGACAGTACTTGCTTTTTAGGCAAAACAATGAATGTGCAATCTGAAGCTGGTATTGCGTCATACATGATATGAATTGCATCATGTTATTCCTAGAAGTCATGGATGATGCAATCATAACGAAGCTTACATCACTCTGCTGAACAAATTGCCCTATATCAGCTCTAGAAATCATACAGTGTCGTGCTCTCTTATTTATCAGTGTTTGATTTTGCAAAGGGACAC